AGGATAAAATGAACTGTCAGATCTTTAGCATTTAAATTATATGCTGCAAAATAAAAGAGATAATATTATTTAACAAAACAGGACAAAAGCATTCACTAGTTCTTTGATTTGATTTTTAACTTGATGTTTGGTGTGCATGTGTCGTGTTGCTCCCCTGAAATGAACATGGTGCATGAAAATCATAAAAAAAAAATCACCTCTCGTCCCAGTGGGCAGTCTTTTTCCTTCAAGCTCGGGTTCTCTACCAGTGGCCTGGGAGCTTGAGGGTCCTGCGCAGTAGCTTAACTAGAACTTTTCCCAGGACTGCACTCTTCTGGACAGAGATCTCAGATGTTGTTCCTGGGATCTGCTGTAGCCACTCACCTAGCTTGGGAGTTACTGCACTGTGCTCGATTACCACTAGGACCACCGTTACCTTCACCCTCAACATCTTCTCGAGCTCTTCTCTGAGCCCTTGGTACTTCTCCAGCTTCTCGCGTTCCTTTTTTCTGCTGTTGTTGTCATTCGGTATCGCTACATCGATCACTACGGCCGTCTTCTTCTGTTTGTCCACTACCGCTGTGTCCGGTCTCTATCTGGAAGTCCCACAAGATCTTAACTCAGTCATTCGTCTCCCATTTTGACCTCAGGACTTCCAGGCCATATTCTGCACAGATGTTTCTGTATACTATGCCGGCCACCTGGTTTGCCTGGTATGCCCTGCCTGCTAGCACCTTGCACCCTGCTGTTATGTGCTGGATTGTCCCAGGGGCATGGATCTATGGATCTTGTACTTAGAGCTTGTTTCTGTGCTGCCATCAGAGTCAGTTCCTCTCGCAGTCAGTGATCCTTCCATCGCACTTGGGACTTGGTACCCAATCTCAGGTGGGGGTGATGATATCTCCCCCCTGACCTGTCATCCTGGCTCCCCCTTGCCGTAGCACTTATGTTGTACCTCGTCAATCTCTAGCCATGAGAGCAGTTCCTTCTTCTGAACGTTGGGACACTAAGCTGGTAGTTGTTTTGCCACCAATCAGGGTGCTGGGTATCGAAGATCCCATAGGTCCCTCATCCTATTCATGTAGCCCCTTCTGCTGGGGTTACTTGTGTAGTAGCATTCGGACAGCGCCCTGTTTTCGTCTCTTGCTGACCGATGCGGTCTTGCTCCAGTAGCTCACTTCTCATCAGGGTGTCCTGGTTCCTCAACACCTGATGCGGATCTTGTTAATCCGGGCAATGAATTAACATTCTTGTTAATCGTTTTCAAAATTCCAGTTATTGCTTTTTTTTGTTTGTTTATTAAATAGTTTAGTTTTCAATAACTGCAGTGGCATGATGTTAATTTAAATTTATTTAAAACACAAATTAACATTTAAGCACAAAAAGCTGTTTTCAATATTACATATTAGGACTTACTAGATGTCTTACATTTAGATGTGCAGCCTGCTTTTGTTTTATTTTTGAGCTCCTTTCTCTGTTGACTCTCTGAGCACTATCAGTTGAGAAGGGGAGGATGAGTCCGTGTAACTCTGCTGAAATGGGTGAGACCTGAAAAGTTAATTCTGCAGTCGAGCAAACTGCAGTGACCTGTGAGGATAATCTAAGACCTCTGCAACATAATCGAGAAGAGCTACTTGAAAGAAGAGTTCAAGCTGAATAGCTAGGAGCAGGAAAGAATGGAAGTGTGGTTTGAAAAGAGGTCTGAAGAGAAAGAAATCGGCCCAGAGTCAGGAGGAAAGAAGGAATTTGTGTTATGGGGGCTTAAGGAGTTCTGTGCCGACTGCTGGCTCAGCTCCCCTTCGTTCTAATTCCCTCTCTGTCTCAATCACTCTTCTTCACCCTTTCCCTTCTAGACATTTAGTCATTTGTAGTTTTCATTGTCAAATCATATTGCTGAGGTAGAGGGGGCCTGTCAGTGCAGCATAGTGGGATAGTTAGAAGTCAACATTAAAGAGGAATGCCTCGGGCAATAAGCTGTAATAGACAGATCAAAATTTTGTCGCTCTACACTTATTCCAAATTGCTGTTGGACATGCTTTTTTCCCGCTTACCTCTTGTCTTTCATTTGCACATCACTTTTTTTTTTTTTT